CGTTCGATGACTAGTTTTCGTTCTAGAGTTGGCATAGCTGTACATGATCGTAAGGTGAGCTTCTGTCAAACTCCTGAAGGTTAGTGACTGTTTGGAGTTGCATCTATTTATTCCAGATATACGCCATTGGAGGGTTCAATGGACATGACCGCCTCAAGATAGTCGAGTCTTACGACTACAATAAGAATGAGTGGACGCCGGTAAGAGCTTCCACTTACCTTCGATCAGTTGCGGTTGATAACGCCTTGTTTTTTCCGGTTGCACCGTTAACGAAGAAGCGCTCTGCTCTTGCCGCTGCGTTCTTCAATAGCAAGCTTTACGTGTGTGGTGGTTATGATGGTATAACAAGCCTTGCAACTGTGGAGGTAAGGTTTACTGTATGAAGCTTCTTTTATTTTTTCAATATTATTTCGTGACCCAGGTGTACTGCCCAGAAAAGAACATGTGGGAACTTGGAGAATCTATGACAAAGCAGCGTAGCGCCGCCGGCGTAGCAGTTCTTGACGGATACCTATACGGTAAGTGTGAGCTGCTTAAAAGTGCTGTGTGCTTGTTTTTCATTGATCTCATTGTTAGTAAAGTGTGATTATCAAAAGCATCGAACGTGAAACAATTGCATCCTTGGAAAGTTTCTAATATTACGGAATTCTAAAATTTCGCATTCGAATCCCATTTAAATATAATTTTAGCGTGTAACAATGATTTAGTACTTATCGAAGACCTTTACTAGTAATAAGGTGTTTCACCTAATATTCGGTTTTTTTGTCCTCTCTCTTGGACCTTTCGGTTGCACCACGCTCTTTTATGTGATAGAAGTGGCTTTGCAGTGATGGGAGGTCACGACGGCATGTCAATTTTTTCATCGGTGGAGCGATTTTCGCCTGAGAAAGGACAGTGGGAGGCCGTGCCCTCGATGCTTTCGAAACGATGTCGGCTTGGCGCCACAACGTTGAACGGCAAAATTTATGTGTGCGGAGGGTGAGTTTAAAGCCAGATACTGTTGAAAGCGCATTCCACGATTAACTGATTGACACAATCATTTCCATTAGTAAGGTCCGCTTCTCCACCCGGAGCATTGTCTCAATTTCGCGACCCCATAGTGAGTGACAAGGGCGTCAGCCTTTATTTTTTTTGGTCGGGAGCGCCTCGTCAGGGCTGAATCCTCTCCTTGATGGTATGATGGGAATGGGTATGTGGACACATAACATTGCAGTGTTGTGGAATGTGCTTTCGAGGAACTGCATAGTATTTATTCTGCTACCGATATAATTATTGTCTTCAGGTATGATGGTGCTCAATTCCTTAATAGTGTTGAATGCTTTGATCCAGTGACAATGAGGTGGTCACCAGTGACACCGATGAACATCAAACGCAGCCGTGTGTCGCTGGTTTCGAATGCGAACTCGATATACGCTATCGCTGGGTTTGCTTTCTTCACTATTCTTTTTCAGAAGAGAACATATATTCGGAATTTTTCAGGTATGATGGCATGTCGAACCTTTCTTCAATGGAAGTATACCGTGAAGAGACGGATCAATGGGAGTTGTCGACGCCACTCGGATCACATGAAGGAGGTGTAGGTGTGGGAGTCATCCCAATCCCGCCTAACATGTTAGCTGGATAATTTTTCAATAGACAGCGGTATCAAACTGTAAGTATACGGGAGCATAATTTGTACTTTAGAAATGATCATTCCTTTCATGTACACTATGTAATGAGTTGGTTTTCTTTAAGATAATCGCTGTTCAGTATCCACTTGTAGTTATGTGTATAGCATGTACATAGTCTTTAATTTTTGAAGGAACCTTAGCGCACCTTACTCGCTAGGTTACCGGAGTGGATCCAAAAAGTTCAAAATTGTAGGTTTTCAAAAGCACTAGAAGCAGTTTAAGGGTGATAGCAGGACGCGGAGTAGTTGGTAAGAGATAAATTTTACTTCTACTTCAAACTTCAAAGCAACTTACCAAAAATGAAAAGGAAACACTTCGAATGAAGCCCTCCTTTTCACAGTTGTGTAGGTATCACACGAGCTACGGCCAAGTGATACTGTATGCCGGGAAGAGGATTGACATCAAAGAGACAGAAAGCGGCGAGCTGGGAGGAACCTGACTCAGTGGGCGTGATTATGTAACTATTTTAATCCTCTAGCGTCGTACCAACGCATTCTTGAGTCCCGAAATTCGCACAATCTTACATGCTGATTGGTTAACCTTTATTACTACTTTTGTTCTTGGAGGGTATCGCTCCCCACTTAATCGTGGGATGTGACGAAGCAAAGCCAATGGCTAGATCGCGAAGTGTAGAAAACGACCATAGTGTGTGACGTTTGTGGTAGCTATAATACTTTAATTTCCCACACTTTCGCGAAGGCTCGGGTCTGTTTTCCGACGGGGAACATCTGCTTACTAAATGACCATTTACAATAGTTTCTTTGCTTTGACCGTCTTTATTTTCAGATTGTAAGCGTACATGAAGAAAACTCGTTAACTATACACCATTTCTCCGTCCGTAACAATTGACCAAAAATCGCATCTATGACTGATGAACAGTTCGGTTCGTTTCTGGCTAATCATGAATTCTTTGGCGAAGCGGAGCTTCCCTAATTGTAATCAACCACGCATTGTATCGTCATCACAGGGAGCCCAAGAAGCTCGGATGTAGTCGCGAGTCTCGCCGAAACCCGAAATCACAAGGAAGGTTGGCTTTCTCACTTAGGTCGACTTATAGTCTGCGAATCGACCGATGATTCAGCGAATCGACCGATGTACCAGTGAGTCTAACGATGTACCAGCGACTCAATAGTGGCGGGACCCAACGTTCAAAGGAAGCCCGCTACTTTCGAACAGTGTCACGTGACAGTGGACCCTTTTTGAAAGTGGCGGGACTTGACAGTGGCACATTGCAAGTGGCGAGCTTCCTTTGAGCGTTGGGTCGCCCCTATTGAGTTGCGGTGCAATCGTGGACTAATCAAGCACATTGTTCGATTCGCTGGCGTACAACGCTCCGACTGCGATTCGCAAACTCTGACATGCGGCCTTATATTCCCTTAGAGAAATCTCAATAACGTAATGGTAGCTGTTCAGCGGACGCGCTCTTATGATGTGTAAACTAGAACCGTTGTTCAGTGGGATCAGTATTTCAGGGACGCAATCGTGAAGTCCTCGGAACAGTCAAGAACCTGTAATCAATGGCCCAGGCAAAATTATTCATGCTGGCAATACTCTCATCGCAATAAGAATGTACAAAATCTGAAAAATTGAACCGTCTCTGGTGCTGTCGAGGTCCCTAGATGGTACGAAGAAGATGCTTGTAGAAATCTTAAGGAATGAGAAGGTCCAGCAATTGACGGAGTCAGGGTTCCTAACGTTTTGCCTGGTAGTACAACAGGGCCGGATTCCTGATGCGGTTACGGGAACCCGGCCAACATCGGTTCGTGCACAAAACAGTGATCCATTGGCTGAACTTCCTGAACCTCTTGTCTGGCCTACCTACGCAACGAATCGGATCAGCAAGGGCACACATCAAAAGATCGATCAGAAGGAAGAATTGGCTGTCAGGAAAGCTGTGTGATGATCGCTTCGTTGAAGCCCTTTGGAAATGGCAATATGGTGAGGATCGAGATTTCACCTACTGCGGGAAGCTATTGCAAAGCGTTCTTCTTTCCAGAGGTGAGGGTTAGTTGGAGCACGTTTTGCTTGTTTCTAGAACAAATTGCTTAATGAATAAATAAAAAATATAGAGACTAATAATCAGATCCACTTAACAGGTGTCTGCAGTTTCGACAATTCTTGTTTTTCTTGGGGTTGGAGAGCTCCAGTGTGTATGTCAAATTGTTCTCTTGTGTTACTATTACGTCAGCAGATGTCCCCCTGTCGGTCAACAGACCCTCTGACTTTAGGGGATGAGAATGCAAAAATATTCTGAACAATCGGTGAAAATTTCGGGAGAAACCAGGACAGGAGGGAGTTTTATTCCGTGGGAAGGTTTTTTATTTGGATCCATGCCGTGAACTTTCTGGCTTGTCTTTTTTTTCTTTTTTGGGAAACAGTCTTGATTTTCTGTTCAATATTCGATTTCCCTTCTAATTCAATAAAAGGTGTTCTGGTTTTTTACACTAAGTGAATCCCCAAGATTGCCATTTCTTGTGTAGTCCCTTTGGATTGCACGGTCTATACAATGTGTTGCACACACATGAATACCGTCATCATCTTTGTTATGGCATGAAGCGCACCTGAACGGTAATTGTGGCTGAAAGAGATGACTCGGTACACGACAGGAGGCTGAGATAAGCCGTTTGGACAGAGCGAGCACCCGAAGTAAGCGTAAATTACGATGTTCCTGCCGTAGTCACGTACAATGCGCGTCGCATCGACGCGATTTCCGCAATGACAATCCTATAGGTTATGCTCACAATGAGGCTACCCCCGCTGGGCAGCAATCCAAAATGGATGAGCGTTGCAGCGTCAACGCCGCGCGCGCTTCGCGCGCAGGCTAGGGGAGGTTATCCCCGGGTGCCGCGCTAGACTAGGCGCGAGGCCACTCTGGCGTGCGTGCCATCCTCCACCTCCTACATGAACGGCGCTCAGTATAGTTGGCGGGTTGGCTCGACATATTCTCTCTCCTTTGAGAGAGCGCAGAGAAAACGAATAGTGGGAGGCGAGCACGCACTTCAGCGCGTCAATGCGTCGCGCATTGTACGTGACTACAGCAGAACATTATAATTCACGCTTTACTTCGGGTGCTCGCTCTGTCTAACGGCCTAAGTCCCACCAGGAGGCCCATCGCACGGCGAGAAAGCAGAGAACCAGCTGAATCAGCGGACGGTCGTAGCTTGCATTGTGAAATGTGGGACGTACTACAGTACATTTCATTTAAGTTAACGCGAAATAATTGCAGCAGTCGCTGCAACTCGTCCACTGATCTGCCTGCGTCTCTGCCTTCTCGGGTGGTGAGAATGCAAGAGAACCAGACTCTCCTGTTGGGTACGCCACTATCCAGACACTGTCTAGCAGGAGGCGGTTAAATCTGAAGCTGATGTTCGTGTGTGTGACAATACAAAAATACTAGCGCAAATTCTAGTTACCCTTGATAATCTCTGCTATCGCGATGAATGCAGTGGGAGTCTCCTTCGCGCGTTCTTTTTTATTTTTATGGGTAGACGTGTAAAGGTGCACAGTAGCGACTGTGCTTGTACTCTATCACAGTATTCCAAATTTTTATTGGTTTCTGTTATTAGACTGCATTCCTGATTGATATCAAATTCACAGCATATTGAACAATACGATCACCATCTTAATCTTTCTGTTTGCGATCCGATTTACCCATGCTTGCTCATAGTTGTTTTCATGACAAATAATTGTAAAATTGTGATGCTCTGTAGGTCGCTTCATTGATCCTTCAATAGCTTTCGAAGATAAATATGAGTTGTATTGCTTTGTTCGACATCTATCTTCAGAATTTCGCTTGATTTGCACTTTCGAGCAGATTTTTACTGCCATATAGATAGATGTTTTAGTCCGCCCTCGGATATTTCGGATAGCCTAGAAAAAAAAAACAATTGAAATTCATTGACGTTTCTATGCGATTGAAATTCGCGACAGAGCGGTTCACTTCGATTAATTTGGTCGGGAAGGTTAGAAGACTACTAATGTTATGGCTTACCAAGCAATCTTTACTGTCCCAGTAGTCTATATTTCGTATACGGTCGCTAGACCGACGGTCATAGTTGCGGCGACCGTCTATGAAGAGTAATCCGTGAAATCCCTCAGCGTCGCGCCATCAACTCCTCAGATGGAACTTCGCTTCTTCGTGGTATGGCAAAACGCGTGATCTCTAGTGATATCCATCTGTCGGGCTGTATGGCGGATTCGGGAGATTGGTTAAAGGCAAAAGTCGGGCTCAATAAGGGGGTATTATGGCGATTGAAACTGAGTATAGAGATGCGAAGTGGAACGACAGTGGAGAAAAAACTGAGAAAAACCGTCGACAAGGCCGTTAACAAAACCCTCTTTCCCACTAGCAGTGAAGGAGGCTGGCTTGGGAAGAGGCACGTACAAACAAGTTTTCTGGAGATGTCAGTCGTTCTATCGGTTGATACGGCAATCAACCTAGCTGATTTCACACGTGCCACCACTCCGGAGGTAGGTCGCGTCCCGGAGGCGGTCCCGGATTGAAACCGACGGCCCCGGGGGCTTAACGACGTTTTTCAAGGTGGAAAGTTGCTGCAATGTGTGCAGCTACCCACATACAACCTCCAGGCACGGGAATTACTTCTCTAGCGTGTCTGAGCCCGACCTTTGCCTTTAAAGTTGTTTTGAAATGGAACTTTGCTGGACAGAACAGAAGGACTTTTTGGTCTTCTATCTCAATTTCTGGAAAGTGGAATTCTGCTATTCTGAAAATGGGCGATTGGTTGACAGGGTGCACTCGTGGTCGTCGTGCCGCGTCTCAACGAAGGCCTTTTTGGTTTTCTTTTCGGAGGAGAAAGGGTCGTATTAAGGTTTTGTGAAGGTAAGAGGGTTGGAAGGGGCTCGTATTTTTGGAAGTTGGATGAATTGCGGTAGCGGGAGGGTGTCGTTTTTGGCGGGCTTTTTGATTACTCGCCGAATCTACGGATGCTCATAG